AGCATACATAGAGACAAGAGGGAAGAAGAGGGGAGGGGAGGGGCGGGGCTTTTTCTGCAGATCGCCTTGTGTCTTCAATCGGAGCCCACCTTTACTTACTCCACACAAAATTTCAACAGATCCAGTGTGCCAGAGACTGCTAAGAGCCCCTTTTCTTTCCCTCTTCCTTTTTGCAGTAGAGCTCCCAAGGGTAAAACCTGGATTTACGGCTTCCCTACTAGAGACCACATATCCCAGAACCCCTCGCAGCCAGGTGGAGGTATGAACTAAGTCCTAGCCAGTGAGATATGAGTGGAAGTAATAGGTTTAATTTCTGGGCCACATCCTTAAAAGGAAGCTGGCTGTTCTCTACTTCCTCTTTCCCCTTTATGAAGACTGGGATGTGGACATGGGGTGGAGGAGAGGGCAGCTTTGATGATGCTGACCAGGACAACTCCCTAGAGACAGGGCATCAAGGCAGGAAGAACTTGAGTCACCAGATGACCTGGAGAAGTGCCCTAGAATGCTGACCACCTTGCATTTTTCCCATGGGAGAGCAATAACCTTGTAAAGTCACTATTATCTGGTCTCTGTTGCAGCAGCTGAACCAATAGCCTAAAGGAGAAGCCACTTTCCTGATTTTCAAACCCACAGCAGATGAGCAGGAGCATGTTAGAAGGAAAAAGGACTAATAAGAAAGCAAGTACAGTGAAAAGGGCAAAAGTCAAGAGCAAGAGAAGAGAGAACAATGATAAACAAACAAACAAAACAAAAAAAAAAACAAACTTGACCAGGCGCGGTGGCTCACGCCTGTAATCCCAGCACTTTGGGAGGCTGAGGCAGGCGGATCACAAGGTCAAGAGATCAAGACCATCCTGGCCTACATGATGAAACCCTGTCTCTGCTAAAAATACAAAAATTAGCTAGGCATGGTGGCGTGCACCTGTAGTCTCAGCTACTCGGGAGGCTGAGGTGGGAGAATCGCTTGAATCCGGGAGGCAGAGGTTGCAGTGAACCGAGATGACGCCACTGCACTCCAGCCTGGTGACAGAGTGAGACTCCGTCTAAAACAAAACAAAACAAAACAAACAAACAAAAACCCCACAAAACTTAGGAGTTTGGAGTCATTTAGCATAAGGTCATTCCAATAGACCTTGAAGGCATCATTGTATCATAAGGTAGTAGTGGAAACATGCTCAGAACAACCATCCTGCATCACTAGAAGAAGTCATTGACCAAATCCTTTATTTTAAAGGAAAGCAACTGTGTATTTAGAAAGTATTCCCAATCAAAAGTGGTTAAAATGGAATAAAGCTTGTATATTTGGGGGAGAAACCTTCAGCATCTGGAAAACTCAGTCATCCAAAATTACACCTTTCCTCAATGATGAGAAATCAGAGATTTAGATTAATTTATATTTACCTTCTCCCTCATTAGATTATGAATTCTTTTAAGGTCAGATTATGTCTCCTTTTTCTTTTAATTTTTAATATTGAACACTGTGCCTTGACTCAATAAATACTTTCTAATGGCTTTGGGGGTGAAGTCTATGTTACCTCGGATGACAGAGCCTAGGATGGTCCCACTAGCTGATTTGGAACACAGATGCTCCTCGACTTAGGACGATGACATTACATCCTGATGAACCCATCATAATTGGAGAATAGCATAAGTTGAAAATGCATTTAACCCACCTGATAGGGTTTGGCTGTGTCCCCACTCAAATATCTTGAATTGTAATTCCCATAATCCCCAAGTGTCATGGGAGGGACCTGGTGAGAGGTAATTGAGTCATGCCGTTCTTGTGATAATGAGAGTTCTCACAAGATCTGATGGTTTTATAAGGGGCTTTTCCCCTTTTGCTCAGCACTTCTCTTTCTGCTGCCATGTGAACAAGGATGCGTTTGCTTCCCCTTTCACCATGATTGTAAGTTTCCTGAAACCTCCCCAGCCATGTGGAACTATGAGTCAATTAAACCTCTTTTCTTTACAAATTATCGGGTCTCAGGTATGTCTTTATTAGCAGCATGAGGACGGACTAACACACCACCTAATCTACCAAACATCATAGCTTAAGCTAACCTACCTTAAATGCGCTCAGAATACTGATATTAGCCTATAGTTGGGCAAAATCATCTATCACAAACCCTATTGTATAATAAAATGTTGAATATTTAACACTTTGTTATAAAATGGGCTTTGTGTTAGATGATTTTATTTATAGAATACTGAAAGTGAAAAACATAATGGTTGTATGGATACTTGAAGTATGATTTCTGCTGAATGCATATTGCTTTTGCACCATTTTAAAGTCAAAAAATTGTAAGTAGAGTCGTTGTAAGTTGGATTGCCTGTATTGATCAGTGAAATTGTCTGAGATCTTAAACTAGCCCAGTGAACAACCGCAGGGACCCAACCCTCATAGTTTTATTGAGCCTATGGTGGGCCTGGGAACTTCCCTCTGTTATCTAGAAATAATTTCATCATACACACTCAAGCTCACAAAGACCTACACACACAAGAATGCTCATTGCAGAATTGTTTGTAATTGCAAAAACAACAATAACAAAAAAAACCCTCATAACTGTGCACAGCCTACATAAATGTACATGGGTTTTCTGTAGCACCCAGGTGAGATGTTCAGGAAAAATCAAAATGAGAGAGAAAAGGCAGGAAGTGAAAGCCACACACCAGTGTCCCTATCACCCTAAGGCCTGATATTGGGTGACGCTGCTAGGCAGAGGGTAAGCAGGGGTCCATGGGCTTGGAGATGATGGGAGTCAGACCACAGATTTTACTACAGGACCCAGAATATAAACATATGCCACTGACAGGGACAGTATTTTCAAGGCAGAGCCAATACACTGTTTATACTTTAAGTAGCAAGCCACATACTCTAGGGTATCCCTGATCCTAAGAGCCAAATAAAAACTCTCTAAGAAAGTGGATTCATTTTGGGAGCTCAGCTCCTATCACACGCTCTAATCTGCCTTTCCAGACGGAAGGGAATTTTATTTCCTGTGCAGAAAGTAGCAGGGAAATGTGTTGGAATGGAAAACCATTTTTCCAGTGTCCTCTGCCTAACCAGACACAGGGTTGTGGTTTTCTAGAGAGAAGAAGACTTCAGGCTTAGGTCTAGACACACAGCACTGTCCCTACTTGGAAGCTGGTGTTCCCCAGTGGAGGAGTCAGGCCCTATGATCACTCAGCCCTGCCACAGAAGAGAATCCAGGCCTCCCTTCTTCTGGGACAACCCTGGCCTCTCTGCCCTCTCTTACCCCTGGCCTCAGACTGGGCCCCACTCACCAAGGCCCCGGTGGGTAATCTTAGCCAGCAGCAATCTCTTTTACTAGTACCTTTCCCCTGGAAGAAGAGAAATTCACAGCTGGTAGGAGGTCATTGTTATCCACCGCCACTATCACTTAATGATATTGGAAACTTCTGGGCGGGTGAAGTCAGAAGCAGGTGTTGATGACATCACAAAAGAAACACCACTGTGTTGTATTGGAACTCTGGGGTTCTGGTATCATTTCTTCACCCAGGATTGAGCTCAACTGAACATTTTCAGACAGATCTGGGGGTTGAAGCCTGCATAGCCTCACCTCAATTCTATCTTGAGCCTGGCTGATGCCCTGCAGAATTAGATCCGTAAAGAATAACTGCTGGCCGGGCGCGCTGGCTCACGCCTGTAATCCCAGCACTTTGGGAGGCAGAGGCAGGCAGATCACGAGGTCAGGAGTTCAAGGCCAGCCTGGCCAAGTTGGTGAAACCCCGTCTCTACTAAAAATACAAAAATTAGCTTGGCACAGTAGCGGATGCCTGCAATCCCAACTACTCGGGAGGCTGAGGCAGGAGAACCGCTTGAACTCGGGAGGCAGAGGTTGCAGGGAGCCAAGACCGCACCACTGCTCTCTAGCCTGGGTGACAGAGCAAGACTCTATCTCAAAAAAAAAAACACATGGGTCCTTGCACTGATATTTTATTGAGGCTATAGAACTCCCCTGCTCCCCCAAACTGATACTCATGAGGCAGAAATATGAGTTTCTTCTAGGCCACGAAGTGAAGATCTCCTCTTCAGGGCCTCATGTCCAGGCTCTTGAAATCAGCTCTGTTGTACCCTTCCCCTAGGTGTTGGTATCTGTTTTCAGTAATGAACCTTTTCTTTGTTGTATAAGCTTTATCAACTTTGTGAAATATAATACATATACAGAGAAGCATATACCATACAACAACGAGCACTACAATGAATAATTATAGAGCAAACTCTTGTGTAGCGACACTGTTTAATAAATGTTCGATAAATGAACATTATCACCAGAAGTTTCCCTGTATTGGTTCCCAATCCACTCCTTTCTTTTCCAGTCCCTTCCCTGCACAGAGATAGCCCTATCTTGACTTCAGTCTTTCCTTGCATTGCTTTGTACTTTTACCACCTGATTATTCATTCCTAATCAATATGGTTTGCTTTGGTCTGTGTTTTAAGTGTACATTAATAGAATTAGAGTATAAATATACTTTTATGTTGGGCTGTTAGAACTCAACATTGGTTTTTTTTGTTTGTTTGTTTTTTGTGTTGTTTTATTTTTTTGAGATGGAGTTTCACTCACGTCGCCCAGGGTAGAATGCAATGGCACAATCTCGGCTCACTGCAACCTCTGCCTCCCAGGTTGAAGTGATTCTCCTGCGTCGGCCCCCCAGGTAGCTGGGATTACAGGCACGTGCCACCACTCCCAGTTAAGTTTTGTATTTTTAGTAGAGACAGGGTTTCACCATGTTGGCCAGGCTGGTCTCAAACTCCTGACCTTAGGTGATCTGCCTGCCTCAGCCTCCCACAGTGCTGGGATTACAGGCATGAGTCACCACGCCCGGCTTCAACATTGTATTTTTAAGATTTATCCACACTGTGGTATGCAGTTGGAGTTTATCCATTTTCATTACTCTATTGTTTGACTATGTCATAAACTAATCCTTCCTGGTTTGTTTGGCATTTGTTTTTATTTCCAGTTTTTTATTAGTGAGTGCTATGATTTGAACGTTTTTCGTCTCCTCCAAAATTAATTAATTAATTGAAAAATATAGGCTGAGTGTGGTGGCTCACTCCTATAATCCCAGCAGTTTGAGAAGCTGAGGCCAGCAGATTGCTTGAACCTAGGAGTTTGAGATCAGCCTGGGCAACATAGTGAGACTCCATCTGTTAAAAAATACAAAAATTAGCTGGGCATGGTGGTGTGCACCTGCAGTCCTAGCTACTCTGGAAGCTGAGGTGAGAGGATTGCTTGAGCCTGGGAGGCAGTGGTTGTAGTGAGCCAAGATTATGCCACTGCACTCTAGCCTGGGTGACAGAGTGAGACCCTGTCTCAAAAAAAAAGAAAGGAAAGAAAAAGATGGTAAAGCAAGAAATCAATCATTTTAAACTGTTACAGAGCATAGAAATAGAAGTAAAATGTCCATATTATTTTATATAAAGCCCACATAACACTGAAACAATACACGACAATGACTTCACACAAAAATTATTTCTTAAAAAATTATTTGGTTGACAGGGTCTTAAGACGGCTGCCAGGCGGCTGCTTCCTGACAGAAGAAAAGATATCGAGTGGGCTGGTACCTCCTGGCCTAAATGAAAGTGATGTTGAGTCAAACTCTGAAGATGAAGCTGCATTGGAGAGCTCTAGGCTTAACTTACAGGAAGATAAAGAGGATGGGAACCTCAGAAAAGCAGAAATCATAGATTTCACAACAGATGAAGCAAAAAGTGAAACAGAGTCAAATGTAAATGCCTAAGAGGAGTGTCCTTCTGGAATTCCCTTAGATACGCGGAATTGAACAGTCCTCAAATGCAGTCCAGTGGAAGGAGCTTCCTCAGTATTTTGGAGTCGATGATAGGTTTGACCCCTCTGTTAAAAGGAAAACCGTTGAGAAGGCCTCAAAAAGAGGATAGAGCAGGCTGTGGAGGAGTGGAATATTGAGAAGGCTGAGGATCTCAGCAACCAGCTAGCTACTCGAGAGCTTGGTGTAAAAATTGCCAAAGCAGTTGTCTGCCACAATTTTGTAAAAGCCAAAAATGGAGACTAAAAATTCACAGGACTGCCCGAAAAAAGAAGAAACTCACGTGGGGGTTTGAAGCAAAGAAGTGATGGGCAACCAAAAGCAACGTGGGATATATGTAGCTTGCCAGAATGCTTGAAGACATTTGTAGACTCAAATGCTCAATTTACCGAGAATGTTTTCCTGCCTATGTTAAATGTCAGAAAATTGATAGCACTAGAAAAGAAATAAGCATAAAATTTGGGAGTTTGATTATCAGCTCTTTTCAATCTTTCTCTAAGGACTTTGTCCTATTGAAGTGAACAAAACGAAGCATTCTGTTATTTTTATAAGAAATGTAAGAAAAAATATAGAAAAACAGAAAGGATTTTGTTTATTTGTATAAACCCACAGTATAAAATCAGTTTTGCGGCCAGTTGCTGTGGCTAATGTCTGTAATTCCAGCACTTTGGGAAGCCAAGGTGGGCGGATCACTTGAGTCCAGGAGTTCGAGACCAGCCTGGCCGGCATGGTGAAACCTCATCAGCCGGGTGTGGTGCCACATGCCTATAGTCTCAGCCACCTGGGAAGCTGAGGCAGCAGAATGACTTGAACCCGGAAGGTGGAGGTTGCAGTAAGCTGAGATCGCGCCCTTGCACTCCAGCCTGGGCGACAGACCAGACAGACTCTGTCTCAAAAAAAAAAAAAAAAAAAAATCAGTTTTGCTGCTTTTCATTTATTTGGTTTAGCATAACCAGTGAGCTTCTTGTACTTTCTTTTTTTTTGAGACAGAGTCTCACTCCCTGTGTCACCCAGGCTAGAGTGCGGTAGCATGGTCTTGGCTCACTGCAACCACTGTTCCCTGGGTTCAAGTGATTCTCTGATTCTCATGCCTCAGTCTCCCGAGAAGCTGGGATTACAGGCAAGCACCACCATGCCTGGCTAATTTCTTTTTGTATTTTTAGTAGAGTCAGGGTTTTGCCATGTGGGTTAGGCTGGTCTTGAACTCCTGGCCTTATATGATCCACCTGCCTCGGCCTCCCAAAGTGCTATAATTACAGGCATAAGCAATCATGCTGGCCTTGTACTTCCTTATCTCTACCCAGCGTAACTACACATTTACTGGAGCTGTGTTTTTAAGACTGATAATTGTTTATAACGGATTAGTCATAAGTGCCAAAAAGTCTCAGTTGATACTGTCTTTACAAATGATGACTTGACCTTAATGTCATAAAAGTAGTTACTAATTTTTTTACTGAAGGCAGTAGACTTGATATTTCAGAATTGCATAGTAAAAGCAATTTATTAATTTTTGTGTACTTTCAGATAAACTATTACAATAAAGAAAGGTGACAAATGTTAAAAAAAAAAAATTCCATCATGGTTACTGCCTGAGCAAGTTGGAGCTGTGGGTGAGGGTTTCCTGGAATGGGGACAAGTTGGTTCCAGATGGTTTTGATACACCTCATTCTGCAACCCTCCTTTTCATACTCCAGCCCTATAAGAAACACAAGGTTTGGAAGTGGTACTAGGAAAACTTCCTCTTCTCTTCTTCAGACTTGTTTCCTTACTTCTTTACTACTTTGGTCAGTATAACGTGGCAGCTGCCTCTGAGGGGTCAGTCATTCTCCTTCAGTTCACTCACAGATTATGAGCCAGGTAATCTATTAAAACCCTCTAAATGTTCTTTATTCATCCAGAATCCCTTTCCAGGAAGATGTCTCTTCTTGCACTTTGTGAGATTCTATTCAAAATAAGGATTTTGAAAAGCTCTGACATATTCATGGGAATCTAGAGGACAAGTGCATGCTCAAGAAAAACATGAGAAAACCCTAAGCTCTCACCTCTGCCTGACCTTCAGTCTCTATGCAAGAAGAAATTGAAGACAAAGGCAGAGTTGTAAACTGCCTAACTGAACTCTGAAGGCATGTCCCAACAGCACACACAGGCTTATCTATAAAGACTGGGAAATTTTACTGTTTTTTTGTCCCAGGTGTTTAAGGAAATCTCTTGTCCAATCACTAGCTGATCATTAAGCTAATGGAACAGAGACTTCTGTGACCATACACACAGACACACACACACACACGCACACACAAAGAGTTTTCAAAATTAGTTCAGAAAAGGCACTAAACAAACAAACAGCAACAATTACAACAGGCAGGAACAACGAACCCAAGAAAAATCTGATTTCCAGAGTTGCCAAATTATAATATTCAAAATGTCCAGTTTTCTACAAAAATTACAAGGCATGGTAAAAACACAAGAAAGTATGGCCCCTACAGAAGAAAAGTGACAATCAATAGAAATTATTCCTGAGGACGCCCAGACATTGGGCTTACTTTTAAGAGACTTTAATTTAACCATTTAAAATATGCTCAAAAAGCTAAAGGAAACCATGT